AAGCCGTGTGCACTTAGTATTGCTGTGCATGCACCAAGCTGTGCGTGCTGAGTATTGCTGTGCATGCACCAAGGTGTGTGCACTGAGTATTGCTGTGCATGCACCAAGCCGTGTGCACTGAGCATGCTGTGCATGCACCAAGGTGTGTGCACTGAGCATGCTGTGCATGCACCAAGCCGTGCATGTGCTGAGCATTGCCATACATGCACCAACCTGTACACGTGCTGAGCATTGCCGTGCATGCACCAAGCTGTGCGTGCTGAGTATTGCTGTGCATGCACCAAGCTGTGCGTGCTGAGCATTGCTGTGCATGCACCAAGCCGTGTGCACTGAGCATGCTGTGCATGCACCAAGGTGTGTGCACTGAGCATGCTGTGCATGCACCAAGCCGTGCATGTGCTGAGCATTGCCATACATGCACCAACCTGTACACGTGCTGAGCATTGCCGTGCATGCACCAAGCTGTGCGTGCTGAGTATTGCTGTGCATGCACCAAGCTGTGCGTGCTGAGCATTGCTGTGCATGCACCAAGCCGTGTGCACTGAGCATGCTGTGCATGCACCAAGCTGTGCACGTGCTGAGCATTGCCCTGCATGCACCAAGCCGTGAGCGCGCTGAGCATTGCCATACATGCACCAACCTGTGCACGTGCTGAGCATTGCTGTGTATGCACCAAGCTGTGCATGTGCTGAGCATTGCTGTGTATCCACCAAGCTGTGCGCCCTGAGTGTCCCTGTGTGTGCACCAAGATGTGCACGCTGAGCACTGCCATGCATACAGCAAGCCGTGTACGCTGAGCATTGCCGTGTATTCACCAAGCTGTGCATGTGCTGAGCAGTGCTGTGTATGCACTAAGCCGTGCACGCGCTGAGCGTTGCTGTGCACGCAGCAAGCTGTGCATGTGCTGAGCAGTGTTGTGCGTGCAGCAATCCGTGCACGCTGAGCGTTGAGCAAGCTGTGTGCACGCAGAGTGTTGCCAGGCACGTGCCAAGCTGTGCGCTCGCTGAGCGGCGCTGTGCATGCACCAAGCTGCGCACGCTGCGCGTTCCTGCGCGCGCTCCAAGCCCTGCGCGTGCCGTGCTGCCAGTGCTCTTTGTTAGAGCTCACTGCGAGACACCTCCTGCCTTTCCCGCTCTCCACAGCCCTAGCCGGGCCCCAGCCCCTTGCAGCGGGCATGCCATGGGGCAGGGGTTGCCATCTGTGGGGCTGGATGGAGGTCCCTGCAGCCCCACAGCACCCTGGGGTGCCCAAGGCCGGGTGCTCTTGGTGCAGCCTGTGCATCCTCCCACCTGGGCGCTGCGCTTGCAATTGCAGCCCCCCTCCCAGCAGCCCCCAGCAAAACCGAGGCGGGGAAGCATTCCCAGCCCTTGGATAATGCTCCCTGTTGGCTCACACAGCCCGGAGCCAGGCAGGGAGCACCGGGCAGCCCTGGGGACACCGTCCCCATCACCTGCTCCCATTGCAGCGCCAGGGCTGCGGGTGGG